CCTCAATTTCAAGGCACTCCCCTTGTTGCCTCAGCCAGTATTGAAATCCTCGGCATCGACATATCGAGTGACGTGCAGTTTCGTGGTCACTTGGAAGAAAAGGCCAAATTGGCCTCTATAAAGCTTGGCGTGCTCAGCATAGTGGGACAGTATTTCATGTCGGCACACCGCCTGCAACTTTATTAGGCGCAGGTTCGGCTCCCCAGTGCCAACTCCTCCCACTTAACCGCATCCAGCGCAAAGTGGCTCGAAGCGTCAACGACCGAGTCCTTTCCGATCGGCTCAATTTACTGGCGCTGCGAAGAGATATTTTATCCCTATTAAGAATTGTTCGGATTAATCCCAGTCGCCAAATTTCATGAACGCACATCGCGACATAATTCCAGAAACCATCCACACCATCTGGATGCTTGGCGGTGCACCATTGTACGTTTCACTAGGAGTTTTTTTCCGCGTACGACCTCTCTGTGGAATGGCTTACCACCGGCATATTTTTCCGGACCGATACGACTTACGGACCTACAAGAAAAGAGCTTATTCCTTTCTAAAAGGCCGGCAACGCACCTACAATTCCCCTGGTGTTGCCGTTGTTCATGGGCGGCGGTAGTAACTTATCATCAGGTGAGCCGTATGCTCGTTTGCCCCCTCTTCTATAAAAAAAAAATAACAAATAACTTCACCTCAGTGTCAACTAGCGACATCTGGTGAGCGAAAAATTATTAGCCCTCATAGTTTGAAAAATGTTAACAAATTAATTACGGATGTTTTATCAATTCTCCATTATATATTGTGAAGTTTGTACGTCACAGTATAAAACATCTCAAGTGTTTCCTTCCATATTGGCATACCTACTTTAACAATGTTATAGTGATAATAACAATATTTATTGGCAATTTATCAAGACAACAAAGTAATAAATCATACTCTTGTAGCACCTATTACTTGTCAATACCACACTGATAAATAAAAATACATGACTTTTCATTTCATACATTAATCCCGAGTTAATTTTGAGCTAGGTTGTATGCCACGACCTCGTCCGCGTAGAATTTTAACAGAAATACATGGTCTACTCGTACTCTAGTCGTCAGCTTGTTTGCTATTATCTCGTAATAAGAACATTATTATTCATTAAAACTCTCAGTTTTCTTATAAGATTTTAAAGTAAAAAAAAAAAAATACAAATCTAAAAGATTTTGCATTAAAACTTTAAGAGATAGAAGATCAAGTGTCGTTTGAAACGTTTTGTTTGAATTTTTTTGAATTTTCTTTTAGTTAGTGTTAAACTTAAACGAAAGAAAAACTGCAGCTCAATAATAACAATCTTTGTTCAAGTAGCACAGAATAAATTATAGTACAAGAACAAGTAGTTCAATTATCGTATAACCAAATACTAGAAATGTCAGAAATATAAAATAAGTTAATAATATCGTAAAACAACTTCATATTCATTTTTTTTTTTTATGATATTTAAAATAATATTGAATATTAATCATTATACATAAAAAAGGTCTTACCTCCTTATCCTTAACACTCATAGTTTTGCTTTTGTTGTAAAATGATATTGTAGGATAAAAAGATTATCAATTGATTTTGACTGTTAGACTGATCGTCTTGTAATTGTATCGCTTGTGTGAGGAAAGATGAGGGAGCGCAGATTTACACACAGACTTGCTGGCCCGACAGATGTTATTCTGCCCTTACTGTACGGCTAGCATGGGCTGGGGACACAAAATGTATCCCCGATTATATCCACTGACAAGAGATAAAATTATCTTGTCCTTATGCCAAAGCACGGTAACGGGGAAATATATCCCCTTTTACTATAACGAGTAGACATATATCCCCCGTCCGTAGCATGGGACCAAATGAAAGATAAAAAAATATGGTTTTTTGACATTTGAAAGGGACAATTCTATCCTAGTTCATTGGACGTGGCCTTAAAGTTTATATTCATACAAAAAATCTATAAGTCTAAGTCTAGCTTCCATTTTATGTACTGTTCGCAAGTTTTTGCGTGAATCGTGAACACACAATTTTTCTATAGATTTATTATACTCATATGTAATAGATTTATAATAATATCTCTTGCACAGAGTAGACAGCTTTCAACAGGTTTAAATATCTGCAGTGTGTATGAGTAAAGCGCGATATGCATTCGCCTTCAATCGAGAGGAACCGGGCCGGGAGGATATGATAAGAAAGATTTGTTTTGTTGTTTACGTTGTTAACCTTGGTGATAGGAGTAGAATGATAAAGGGCCGTGAGATCTAAAAATAAATAACTTTCTCTCGCAATAAAACAAAGAATATATTTATAAGTGCAGCACTGATAAATATATTCTTTGTTTTATTAATTAAGCCAAATGCCCATCAGTTTGATTTTATTTGAGTATGTATACCTTATAGGTAGGGTTGCCACCTTTTTTTTTGAATAAATGGTATTTATTTTTATTAAAAGAGATGCAAAAATATAGTACTTTAGGGAAATTGAGGAAAAAAACCGACCATGTGCGAGTTGGACTCGCGCACCGAGGGCTCCGAACAAATCCGTAGGTATAGTATAAGTTTTAAATTATTAAAAATATTTTTATTATATGATGTAACAAAAATTTTATGCTTTTCGCAATTTTTCCTTTATCTGTGCTATAATACGTTGCTTCGTACCAAATTTTAAGATTCTGAGTTCACGGGAAGTACCCTGTAGGTTTTGATGTATCGTTGGTTTTTGCTGTATCTTTTGATTGCGTTGGCTTAGAAGTTTGCTTTTTTCACAGCTCCAAGGGACAGTAGACTTAACTATTTGATATGAATTTCAGCTTGATACCTCCACGCGTTCCTGAGAAAAAGGGTCTTGACAGACAGACAGACAGACGGACAACAAAGTGATCCTATAAGGGTTCCGTTTTTTCCTTTTGAGGTACAGAACCCTAAAAAGTACACATTTATTTTTAAGCATTGTGTATTTTTCCATATACATAAATAATTAAAAATTAGATTTATATTAAAACAAATTACAATTCATTTTAATTAAATGACTATAATATGTTCTATTTCTTTCTTCTATCCATTTTATATTGATGACGGAAAAAAATCTTTCCGTAAAACTTACTTCCAGACTTCCAGTCACAATTGTCATAAAAAGCGCGACAGTGGAGTTAGGGATAAAAATATATTATTTTTGGTACTACATTATTTTTATATAATATACACAAACTACAATTGACTGAAATATAGTACGATACTATATGTTATAGTACGGGTGGCAACCCTACTTACTGGTAACCTCAGTGCATTTTAATAATTATTTTTTTCTCTTTTAAAAATGGTATCCCACACTAGGATTATCTACTGTATTGTGGAGGCAGGAGATTTTTAGTTTTTTTTTGCACAAGGACAAACCAGACCCGAAAATATTTTTAACAATTATTTGTAGGCCATACAAATACTTATTCCGTGTGAGATTTGAACCCGTGACCCTTAGCGCCGCAACTCATTGCTAAAGCCACTGCGCCACGGAGACGTCAAATTAATATGTGTGTATGTTTTTTAGCATGATCGGGTTGAATAGGCAAAAAACAATTTAAGAACAGTTTTTTTTTCTTTCATTTACTTATACATAGGTAGGTACCTAGTTTGTGTTTTTAACTGATCAGTGATCAGTGATCACTCACTATTGTGGTTCCTTAAGCGCCGGGAGCCTTTTCATACGCTTATTTATATCGTGTTTTATTAAATACTTTTTTATTTGCTTTTATCTAATTACAGAAGACATTATAAGTAGTGCAATGCTCTTCGATTTAATAGACATTGATTGACGACAATGCTGGAAGAATTGATAACCAAGTTATATCACATAAGTAACAAACAATTAAGTACATTAAAAGTAAAGAAAAAGCATGATAAAAAGCAGTAATATAAAAGTCAATGATTTTAAGAGTAATGATATGCGTCTATTAGTTTAACTCATAATAATACATTATGGAGAGCTATTGATATTATCTTTTTAAGCAGACTTTAAAAACAATGTATGTATGTATGTATGGTGCAAGAGGGATATTATATTATATGTACTTCATTTCCAAATTTCAATCTAACCTGTACGCGGTACACCTGTAAATTAGAGGTACGTCGTTACGTATCGCCTTTTCAGATAACAGTATCTATATCTGATATCGAAATTCTATATTAAATTGGGAATTGTATCAGCGATTTGTCAAGCAAAGGGGCAAGAGGGCTGGTTCTTTTGTTGCTCAAAGGTAGCCTTTTAGCAGGGAAAGGTAACGCAGTCTGCATACTAGGCATTATCTGTGGCACTACTCGTATGCAGCGTGGATTAGGACTATATATGATAATTTTAATGATTTCTTATATTTACGCGAAGACTACACATTAAATGAAACTAATTTTTACGTTTTTTTATCACGTTTAATTTAACATTTTAATTCCCGACGTTTTGGGTGCTTTACAGCGGCCTTGGTCAAGAGGGGGACTGACGTGTGACGTCTCGATGAAATAGCCCGGCTACCTTCAGTTTTGTTTTTTTGTTTTTGACCTTTCAGTATTTGAGAAAATAAAGAATGAATTAAAATATGTTGCATGTGTCCATCAAAGTTATACACTCTTATGCTAAACAACTAACAACTAACGTTTAAAATATATTCACGCCCGAGGCGATGGATGGACGTTGTGCGTTTTTATCCCCACGTACACTATATACCTACAATATTGTCGAATTTTGTAAATAACAAAAAATTTGGTCCGGATTTATTAAATGTTGTATATTAATGTGTATTAGCGTAAATATTAGAATCGTTTTCGGTAATTTTGCATATTTAAAGTTGATGGTATGAGCAAATCTTTCTATTAAGCATTTTAGTTTACGCATTTTTGGAAAACCTATACACAGACAATTCAGAAAGGCTGATAAAAACATCGTCTAATTATGAAATATACCTAATTCAAATCATGTGTTAAATATACTATACAATCGACTTACGCTTATCCAAATACTTGCTGCGCTGCGTATGTGATGTGAAGAAAGCCATCGTCGCCGCGGAACTGTTCGTAGGCCTGCGCCATTGTCATGCTGTGACTCACTAGTACTTTGTCGTTCACCAGCAAATACAATGCCTAGAGACGATGAAAATTACATTCATTACAGACTTTACAGTTATCAGTACTTACATGTACATTTCCACCTGCTATGTACATATCACCATTTTATTATTATTGCACACGTTATAAACATCTTTTATAGGATAGGGTGACAAACAAGCACACAGTCCACCTGATGGTAAGTGGTTGCTGTGGCCCATAGACATCTACCACTATCCTCGTTTGCGAATCAAAATGTAGATGAGTTGTCACCCGTGAGGACTAAGATGGAATGCCTCTTTTCACTCTTAACACTCACCATACGAAACACATCAGTGTTAAGCTGCTATTTTACGCTGGTATTCTGTGAGAACGTGGTCCTTCCCCGGTCGAGCCGACCTATTCGTACTACAGCTATACTACTGATATAGCTGCAGCATGGCTCTACCACGTACCAATATTTTGCAATATTACTTTTTTATATAAAATTAAAGTGACAAATGAATTTACAGTTCACCTACTGTCTGCTCTGTTTACTGTAGCTCATAGAAACCTACAACTAACATTAAATAAAAAGACTATAGAGATACGTTGTCACTTCTAAGGACTAAGGCATTCCTCACAGCCTGCAAATATAGCAACTCTCTATACTTTCCAAGCCGGAACACAGCAGCGCCTTTGTGCTATTTGACAGCAGATAGATATATGAGACACCTATACATAAAACCGGCCAAGTGCGAGTCGGACTCGCGCACCGGGGGTTCCGAACAAATCCGTAGGTATATAAGATGAAAATTATTAAAAATATTTTTATTATATGATGTAACTAAAAATTTATGCTTTCCGCAATTTTTTCTTTATTTTTGCTATAATACGTTGCTTCGTACCAAATTTTAAGATTCTGAGTTCACGGGAAGTACCCTGTAGGTTTTGATTCCCTTGCGAATGTCGAAAATTTGCGGCATAAACGGCTGTATCTTTTGATTGAGTTGGCTTAGAAGTTTAATTTTTTCACAACTCCAAGGGACAGTAGATTTGAGTATTTGATATGAATTTTAGCTTGATACCTCCATGCGTTCCTGAGAAAAAGGGTCTTGACAGACAGACAGACAGACGGACAACAAAGTGATCCTATAAGGGCTCCGTATTTTCCTTTTGAGGTACGGAACCCTAAAAAGAAGTACTTTTATATATTTTTTCTTTCAACCTATGTGTATTGGTGCATTATTGAAAACCCTAGGTATATTTCTTGTTTTACAAAAGAATACCGTCTTAAAATTCTAGACTAGTATATTAACACAGAATAAATGATAGATACTACTACGAGAGCAATCAATATTAAAACGGTCAAACCAGTGATACTTGGTACAATTTCATAACATATTTCCATTATTAAATTGAACAAAAAAGTTTCAAAATACACATAAATTTACCTGAGATTCCCTTAATTTCATTTTTGTTCTTATTATGTAAAGGAACTGGGACATTGTCAGCTCTTGTGGTACGAGAAATTTGGTTCTACCCAAAGCTGGCACCTCTTTTTCTCGTGCGTAGCGCTCCACATACAACTGTTAAGGGATAAAAATAATATATTACTTTCTGTTGAAAAGTAACGGGAATTTGTAACTTAAAACGGCCGCGGTTATTATAAATATAAATATAGTCAGGCATTTTTGACCTGAAATTGTGTTTCGTAATTTTTGATACTTTTTTTTTTATTTAGTACATACCTGATTTGTATTCTATTAAATTGCATATTAGTAAATAAAATAAAGACAACAAACTCAAAGTTAAACTTTTTTAGCCAATTTCAGAAAAGAAGGAGCTTTTTAATTCGACTTTCGAACGTATGTTCTTTTTTGTATGTATGTTACGCGAATTACGCGATACATTCGTCAATTGTCAACCAATCTAAGATTATTGATAGGTCATCGCGCGCTCAGACTTTGAGCTCGCGATGACCTATCAATAATCTAAGCAACCAATGTTATTTATTCTTTTTACATCAATTAGATTATTTTTAAGCGTGGTCCCATATAAACTTGAAACAATAATTCCACCGTTGGAATGGCAAAATAGGGATGAAATTTATAATGTAACTAAATATGCGACATTTGTGTTACATTGGACTTATGATGTTCATTAGTTCACTCAATCTCCTCAAAAAATTAACTTTTAAAGTATTAGCGGACTGAAGTCCTAAAAGTAACTAAAAAGTTTAAAATAACTTCCACATAAAAACTTCTAAAATCGGATCTGTAATTCTTACACTATGTCTTAGAACAGACTTCTCTCTCAAGCTTATTAGTTCTTTGAAGTCGGATTATATTATTAATTTTTTTTTACGTAAACTTTTAATATTCTGATATGTAAGCAACACAAAACTTAAAGCTAAGTTCAATTTCACTTTCGTCTAAAATAAACCTAGCAAGCTAACAGCATAGCAAAGTGGCGAAGCAATCAGCTTTGTAGCGGTTTCTAACGGTTGCCGTTGAGCAATCAGTTTCAAAATAGGAGGTTCAGATGCCTGGGTGATCAGTAATCGATTGCTGAAAACAGAATTTGAAAATTCGAAACCATTCTCGAGATAATCGTGGGACAGACGGACAGACGGACAGACATCGTGAAATCAATAAGTGACTTCGCAAGCTTCGCCACTTAATAACATTTAGGTACATGTTAAAGCAAATTTTTATTTTAAGCGTCCTGTTTAGAACTAATGCGTTTTAATTATTTTTACTAAAAGATATTCATTTTAAGATGATGGCATAATAGATTTTTTTCGAATAAAAATGATAACATTATAGTGATTGTTAACTAAAATTTTAAATTTACCGGTATTTTATTTGGAAAGCGATGTCTGATCGCTTGAACTTCCTGGCTTGGACCCGTCATATCTGTAAGGGATACATCATCATATTAGATATATATTTTCTTTTTACTATAGAGTGCAATTATTTAACTGAATCACTTACCATCTTGATATCCAAAGACTTCTTGGGAAGCGTATGTGATGTAAAGAAAACCGTCTTCGTCTCCGTAGTGTTCGTATGCTTGTGCCATAGTCAAACTCATGCTTAGCATAGATCTGTTATTGATTATCAAGTAGAGTGCCTAAAATTAAAAGAAAGAATGAGTGCATTTTATTTTTTACAGATTATTTTTGAGAATGAAATTAATACGCGTAAAGTTTTGCGGTTGTTCTAGCAAAGGTTTTAAGTGATTTATGCCGTTTAGCCTATTAAAGTCCACTGCTGAACATAGGCTTCCCCCATAGATTACCATACATTCTACTTGCTTTACTTTGAGCTTTAGATAGTTAAAAAAGTAAAACTTAATAAAAAGTAAAATCCTGTTTCATTTTTTTTAAATTATTTAAATGAAATCAAGTGGTATAATAAAAAAAATTGTACAACCGACTTCAATATAAATAAAATGAGAACATTATCAATGTAGTCGAACTCAAATAAATACGCATTATTAACACTTAGGGAGTCGCGTCCTAATTTGTAGCACAAGTACTCGCTACGGGGTCTACTGGACCCAGTATAATATCATTATAAGCTTATTCCAAAACTGCTTTATAAACGTAAATGGTTACTTTTTAATAATGGCTCGATATGTGTAAAGAAAAATATTATTGAATAAAATACTAATTTTTATTGTTTTCTACAGACTTCAAAAAGGAGACGGTACTCAATTTGATTGTACCTATGTATTTTTTTATGTGTGTTACCTCATAACATTTTACTGGGTGAACCGATTTCGATGATTCTGTTTTATTTGAAAGCTGGTGCTTCACGTGTGGTCCCATATAAATTTGATTACGGTCTGGCCAACAGTTTGAGTTATTCTTAATATAATTAATAGAATCAGGCGTTACTTTGCGGAAATTCATTATATAAAAGCTTTTAGAAAAATTTACTTCGCATATATCCGCGTTATAAAATAAAATGATGTGTCTTACCTAGTATGAAGAGCACCTCCCGCCCTCCCTCAATTGCGTGCACTATCCTCGTCACCACTAATCCCAGCACCGCTACTCCCAACACCACTACACTAGGTAAGACACACCACTGACGATAATACGACACGTGTTTCACCTCTACACGAGGCATCCTCAAGTGATATAGACTCTACGGTGGCTAACCGCTAAGTGAGCGGCGAGCCAAAACAAGTGCCTTTTATACAGACCGATGACGCAACCGCTCTCTACTTAAGGAGCGAGCGACTGCGTCATGCGATAAAATATGCGACCAATCACCGCTGGACTTACGCAGCCGTTTGTAAAATTAAAAACAAACCGCCGCGCAACGCCCACCCTCCAACCACGCAACCAATCGCCGATTACCGTGAGGGTGACAAACGACCATATTGCGAGGCTCTCTATTATTAGAGAGCAGGCTTAAAGATATTTAAGAGAGGTGAGTTAGTAACATTTGTTTGTTCATTCAGCAATGCAACGGTATTATTATTACTTTTTAATATCTCTAACTGTTCCAGCACACACAACCGCAGCCCTTTATTACATGTATGTAAGACTTTAAAGGAGTATGAAGAATACTTGGTAAGACATCATTTTATTTTATAACGCGGATATCTGCGAAGTAAATTTTTCTAAAAGCTTTTATTCTTAATAATTTATATTGAAGTCGGTTGTACAAAATTTTCAATTTTAAATTATTAGTCATATAAAAGCTGTTATAAAAATATACAAAATTTATCCATAGTTTTGTGTCAAGTTTTAGGCTTATCGTTATAATTTTTATAATTACCTATTTCAAACAAAAACTTATTTTCTCACACAATAATGTACTTATTTATACGAAATAAAGAGGGATCAATCATCGTAGAAAATTTTTAAGAACAACAAAAATACAATATCTTCTTAGAAGTAAATTCATACTTTGAAACGTTCTACTGACACTTTTTAAACTATTTGACTATCAACGTCGTAATTTGCTGTGTTACACTATCGTTGAAAGGTACCAAGAGCGGCAATGTTGCAAACGTCGAATTTTAATGGTTATTAAGCAATATATTAAGGGCTGGGTCTGTTGGACCCATTAGCGACTCCTTAAATGTTAAGGATAACTCAAAAAGTACTGGTCAAATCTTGATCATATTCATATGAGACCACATGGAAGCACCAGCTTTCAAATAAATTATTAGAATTATCAAATTCGATTCACGTCGAAATCTGTTCTGAAGTAACACACATAAAAAATACAGTTCAATTGAGAACCTCCTTCTTTTTGAAGTCGGTTGAAAAATGGAGCTTTAATTCTTCTATACATTATACCTTAGACTTCCGCAGTTGAAACGTGGAAATCATATCATTATTTTTCATCATCATCATCATCATTACAGCCCTTCACAAGTCCACTGCTGAACATAGGCCTCCCCCAAGGAATGCCACAAAGCACGGTCCTGAGCCACCTGCATCCATCGACTTCCTGCATATCTTACCAGGTCGTCACTCCATCTAGTGGGGGGACGCCCAACACTTCGCCTGCCGGTACGAGGCTGCCAGTCGAGAACCTTTTTTCCCCATCGGTTGTCGGTTCTTCGAGCTATATGGCTGGCCCATTGCCACTTCAGCTTACTAATCCGTTGGGCTATGTCGGTCACTATGGTTCTACTGCAGATATCCTCATTTTTAAGTTTATCACGCAGAGAAACTCCGAGCATAGCCTTCTCCATAGCTCGCTGAGCGACCTTGAGCTTCCTCATCCGGCCAGCAGTGAAGGACCACGTCTCAGTTCCGTATGTCATCACTGGCAACACGCACTGGTTGTACAGTCTCGTTTTCAAGTTTTGAGATATACCTGATGAGAAGATGTGCCGTAATTTCCCGAACGCTGCCCAACCGAGTTGAATCCGTCGATTGACCTCTCGGTCGAAGTTGGACTTACCTAGTCGGACTATTTGTCCCAGGTAAACATACTCGTCAACAACTTCGAGCTTAGTGCTCCTAACAACTACCGGCATAGGTGTGACATGGACATTAAACATGATCTTTGTTTTGTCCATGTTCATCTTAAGACCTATCCGTTGGGAAGCACTATTGAGGTCATTGAGCATAGTGCTTAGGTCCTCCAGCGATTCTGCCATAAGGAATATATCGTCGGCAAATCGAAGGTGAGTGATGTACTCGCCATTGATGTTGATACCGTATCCTTTCCAGTCCAGAAGCTTGAAAACGTCTTCCAATGCAGCGGTGAAGAGTTTCGGGGATATGACGTCACCCTGTCTTACACCTCTCTGCAATTGGATAGGTTTCGTACTCTGGTTCTGTACTCGGATAGCCATCGTAGCCCTACTGTACAAGCACTTCAGCACTTCGATATACCGACAGTCAACTTGGCACCGCTGAAGGGACTGCAGCACCGCCCAAATTTCGACGGAATCAAAGGCTTTCTCATAGTCCACATACGCCAGACATAGTGGCAAATTGTACTCTTCGGACTTCTGTACAATTTGCCGAAGGGTATGTATGTGGTCTATGGTGCTAAAGCCTTTTCGGAAACCGGCTTGTTCGGGAGGCTGGAAGTCGTCAAGTCTGCGCGCGAGACGATTCGTAATGACTCTCGAAAACAGCACGTAGACGCGGCTCAGAAGGGAAATCGGTCTGTAGTTATTCAAGAGAGCGTTGTCGCCTTTCTTGAAGAACAAGACCACCGCACTTCTGCTCCAGGCCTCCGGTGTAATGCCACCATGGAGGACGGAATTAAAGAGCTTCTGAAGGACTTCAAGTACCGGTTTTCCACCCGCTTTCAGAAGCTCTGCTGTAATTCCATCCTCGCCTGGGGCCTTACCGTTTTTAAGGTGCTGGAGAGCCATTCTAATCTCGCTCAGACTGACGTCCGGGATATCATCGGAATAATGTCGGATAAGACTCGCTCTTGGATCGTTACTCACACTTGCGTGTGGCTCCAACGATGACGTGTACAGCTGCCCATAGAACCTCTCAATCTCACTCAAAATCTCAGGTGCCCCGGAAACGATGCTGCCACATTCTGTCTTCGGCTTTGACAGTTGGCTCTTTCTGGCAGACAGATTTCTGGAAAAGACTTTGGAGCCTTGGTTCCGCTCGATCGCTTCTTCAATACGAGCTGTATTGAAGTTGTGTAAAACCCGCCGCATGCATTTGGAGATCTGTCTGTTCAGTTGCCTGTATGCTGTCAAATCTGTTGAAGAATGTAGCTTCATCTCCCGTCTAACAACCATGAGATTAAGAATGTGATCGGAGAGTTTTTGTGTTCTTCTGCGGCGGGTCTTGCAGAACTTAGCTCCGACCACATGGACAGTTTCCACTAGCTTGTCATTCATATCGTCCACACTGAGCCACGCGGCAGCTTTTGCTTTTGCGCGGATGGGCCGGCTCGAACCGGGGTGGTACCACGACCTCACAGAATACCAGTGTGAAGTAGAGTTTACCTCCTTGGTGAGTGCAGGTGGCCGGAGGCCCTTTTTACTGGAAATGAGGCATTCCATCTTAAACCTCACCGGTGGCAACGCATCTGCATTTTGATTCGCAAACGAGGATAGATGTAAGATGTCTATGGGCCGCAGCAACCACTTACCATCAGGTGGACTGTGTGCTCGTTTGTCACCCTTATCCTATAAAAAAAAACTTCATTGCAGTCTTCTAGGCACTGAAAACGGTTTTGTAACTCGAGCTGAAAGGTTTCGGGACTTTGGATTAGAGCACGAGGGGGACGGAGCGTTGACTTCATTAGACGAGACCTCTCCAACTTAACGTTTAGGTTCAGTGTGCCTCTAATCATTCGGTGATCGCTGCTGGTTTTCACCCTCGCGATCACTGAGACATCACTGAACAGTTGTCGTCTGGTCGTCATAATGAAGTCAATCTCATTTTTTGTGGAACCGTCGGGGCTCGACCAGGTCCACTTCCTGTTGGGCCGCTTCTGGAAGAAAGAGTTCACTCCATGAAGTCGGCCAGGTGCTGGCCCCTTGGGTTCCGTTGCCCTATTCCAAATTTCCCTACTTTCAGCTCACCATTCTCTCTTGTGCCTAGTTTTGCATTGAAGTCTCCCATTCACACCGTATATTGGGTTTTGGAGGAATGCATGGCTCTAGAGATATCCTCA